GTTCGCGGGCTGCGAGGTAAGAGCGCGACCGGCGGCGGCTGGTGCTCAAACCTGAAGCGCGGGCGCCGGCCGCGGGCTGCTTCCCGGGCTCCTCCTCGCGTCCCCCGCGTCCCCGCCTCCCTTGGAAACGCGTCCCCCTCCTCTGCTAACTCCGCTCCGTTTCCGGCCCGGCGCCGAATCCCGCCGCTCGCCGCCGGTGCACGTTTACTGGATGCGTCCTGCTTCGTGCAGAAGAAATGTCAGCGTGTTTTAACTTATGGAAATACGCGAAAGCCGCATTAAAGCGGAAGGATACACCTCGGCATTAATTTTATTGTAGGGGGAAAATGAATAGTGCCACTAATGGCGGTTGTACTGAATACTTGCTCAGTTAAAACGGAGGTTCTGCATGAGAATCCGTGGGCTGCCGCGGGGCCGGGCCCTCGGCCCTCGCGCCGCTCGCGCCAGGGCAGCCTTCCCCAGGTGGTGGGAGGAGGGCCGTTGGCTTGTCCTTGATGTTGTTTTGATGTGTGTGGTTGTTTCTGGGAGGGGTGCTGTAGAGAACACCGCGAATAGAATAAAAGATCTTTGAAAACAGTTATTTGGCCATTTCTAATTCTAGGCATTTTCCTAAAACAGTTGGGGGAGAAAGTTACATTGTTTAAAAAAACTTGGAAGTATGTTTTTAAATAACTAAATTAATGTTCTTTGAAATTCCAACAAAACAGTGAAGTCACCAGATACCAGCTGTGTGTAAATGTGTCAGTTGAGTGCACCCAACTCTCCAAAAGGCAGGAAAGGAATTTTCAGACTTGCCAGTGTCTATTAAGAGGACACAAATTTTCCAAGGGCAGATGGGGATCCTGTTTTTGCAAAGTTTTGTCAGAGGCATCCGTGGAAAAGAGTTGCGTTTACTCTTACCATCCGAATTATTTTAATCTCCGCTTTTAAGAGTTTCCATTCTTAGTTCTTTTGAAAATGTCCTTTCCCTTTTCTAATCTTTCTGTCAGTTTTGGAAATGTTGCACAAAAAACCACCCAGGTATTTTTATAGCAACCGGATTAAGAACGAGTCAGGCCTACATACAGACCCTAGTTCTATTACACATTGACTGTGTGATCTTGAGCAAATTGCTTAACCTCTCTGATCCCCAATTTTTGCATTAATTTTTTTAAAGAGATAATCATATTTGGTTCTTGACTTTGGAGAATTAAATGAGATGAGACATCTAAAATGTATAACAAGTCTCTCTTATGTTGTGAGAACTTTATAAATTAAATAAATTCCAAAAAGTGTACATTTTGCTACTTTTACATTAGTGCTTTCGCTAGTTAATTTGATTAAGAGCATGGAAGAGAACGAAAGATCCTTTTTGAATAACCTGTGTGAGTAGATTACTAAAAAACTAATACTTTTTAAGGTTTAAAACTGGATTCAAACAAATTATATACAGTTGACCCTTGAACAAGCAGGAGTTTGGGGGCACTGACCTTCTCTTACAGCTACAGTCAGTCCTCCCAATGTGTCGGTTCCCAACCGCAGAGTTGACATTTGAACAACTGGGTTTAGAGCTGGATGGGTCAATTGGAAAAAAATCCCAGCATAAGTGAATCTGCTCAGTTCAAACTCGTGTTGCTCAAGGGTCAACTGTGTTATTTTACATCGTTTTAAATGTGCTTTTAAAAATATTCACTGAAATGAGGGTAAAGTTTCTTGTAAGTTAATATGTAATAGTAAATCATGATCCTTTTAACTCAGGTAAGCATTTGATAACACATTTAACCTGTGAATAAGCTCTAATGGAATATAATAAAATGAAATACATATTTTTATGTGAATGTATATACAAGTCAATTTCTTTTAAATTAAACCTTCAGAAAATGTACAATGAATAAGCTCATATTCAAATCATAGCTTACCAATCAATGACCTAATTAGTAGAAGAGCAGACTCAGAAAAATCTTATAGAAAATTTTAGAATAAATTTAATTTTATTACTTTTATGAAGAGCTATAATTGACATTCTTGTCACTTGTTAAATAAATAACATTTGTTAAATACTTAGCACCTACTGTGAAACTAGGACTCTGCTAGGTGCTACAAAAAAGAAATAAACTAAAATAGTATGTCACCATTTTCCTATACACAAACGCAGAAAAGTAAAATAAATAACCATGAATGAGTTGTGATTTTATTTTTCCCTCTTGGGATACCAATGACAAAAATCTTATATGCATTATGTAAGTAGTGCCCTAAGATCAGAACAGAAAGTGCCTTTCAGTTTCTCAAGTTAGGAGAAATTACTCAAGGTTAGAGTGGTCAGGAGCTTCCCTGGAGGTCTCCTGTCTTTGTGACTTTATACAGCTTACTCAAACTTCCTGGGCCTAAGGTGCTCATTCATAAAATGAAAGAGTTGAACCTTCTAGCTTCAACATACTCTTATATTGTTGCTTAATGACATGAACCCGTGATGGACAACAAATGGTCATTTTTGCTACTTGAATAGTAGCTAAGTAGCTAGATCTATCTTAGCAGAAGTGAGATAGTAAAGAAGAAATGTTTGAGGCCTGGCTCTAGGAAGCATGCTGAAGGCCTGGGCCAAAAGAAGTGAAGGATGGCTGAAAAATTTAAAGACTGCCCCAAACTTAAAGGTACCCCCAACGATCTTGTTTACTTTCATCTTAGCAAACTCTATTTAGTGCAGAGATAAAATTTGATACTCTACATGAGTTATCAAATTTTCTGAATTTCCAAAGTTGAATGTGTTTTATAGATGAATTTGTGTACCAACTGTTAAAGTCATTTTCTGTTTGTTATTTTAGACATATAAATCATGAAGTACTAGCTGTATTGGTCAGGGCAGGATAAGTTGCTATAACAAATAGATACCTCCCTTCCCATTTGCTATGTTGTTTCACCACTGTCCATTTCCAGAACGTTTTCATCACCCCAAACAGAAACTCTGCAAGCAATAACTCCCCATCCCCTTTCCTTCCTGCCCCTGCTAACTTCTATTCTACTTTCTGTCTCTATGACTTTCCCTATTCTAGGTACCTCGGGTATTAGTGGCATCGTACAGTGTTTGTCCTTTAGTGTTTGGCCTATTTTACTTAGCATAATGCTCCGAAGGTTTATCCATGTTGTAGCATGTATCCGAACTTCATTCCTTTCGATATCTGAATAATATTCCATTGTCTGTACCACATTTTGTTTATCCACTTATCAGTTAATGAACACTTTGGTTGTTTTCACCTTTTGGCTATTGTGACTTTCCCTTTATTACAATCCAAACCTCACTTCATCACTTCTTCCTTTCCCCTTTTTATTTGCACAAATTTGAAGAAATGAGATTTTGCATTTTCATTGCTGTGGGGATTCTTTTGAGGGAGGGTTGCTACTCTCTGATAAGGTTATGCTAGAAACTGAATTTGTGCAGTCAACAAACATTTATGGGGAGTCTCCTTTGTGCTTGGTACTAGCGATACAGAGATGAATAATACAATATCCCAACTTTCAAGGAGCTCCGAGTCTGGTAAGGAAAATAGAGATGTAAGTAAATAACTGCAGTGCCAGGTCTCAGGTGTGGGAGGGACTCAAAGAGGAGAGGACCAGCTCAACCCAGAAAGGCCAGAGGAGGTGAAACATGTTAGGTTTTGAAGGATGGAGGTGGCAAGGGGGGGGGACGGACCAGGGTAAAATAGCAGAAGTAAGACCAAGCAAGCCAGTAGCTCTGACACTTTTTCTTGTGGACAGTTAAAGCCAGTGGGGCTTCAAGCAGAAGGCTGATGTGGTCACGTGTCAATGTGAAGATGATTCTAGCAAGAAAGAGAGTAGGGTAAGGTGGATAGCACTGGTTGCTGGGAGAGGTCTGACAGAGGAGGTGATAAAGGGTGCAACAAGGCCATGTGAGCTGAGATGGAAAGAAGTTAAAGCAGGCAGAAACCATCAGAATTGTGGACCATCTCTCTATGAGGGTTAAGAAAAGAGCCTCTTCTAGGATGAAACTCATGTTTTTGGCTTGGTACCATTAACCCAAACAGGTTTCTAGAAAAAGAATGAAAAAGGAAACACTCAGTTTGGGGTATGTGAGTACAAGTTGTCTGTGGAATATGAGGGTCAGAATTGGTGGGTAGCTGTGGCGTATATTGTCTGCACCTCAGGAGAGGGCTGACTAGAATTTGAGATTCAGGAGCCAATATCATATAAGGTAGCAACTGACTATTCTTTAGAAAATGGACCAATAGTAATAAAAAGTCACTTCTCTGTCTAACGGTGTCCCTGCGATTCAGAAGAATATTAGGGAAGATTGTATTTGTCTTTCTAAACAAGGACACATGAATGCAAAAACAGGATTCTTTCATCTAAATGCAATGAGCATTCGGTCAAGCTATTCAGAATGAACTCAAAGTCCATATGGGTCTGGGTCTTTATACTACTCTGACATGTGCGCATCAGAAGTAGGACATTTTATAGACTTGTTTTCTGAAGCATGGACAGGCCTCTTCCAACCACTACGTGTTTCACACATATTTCTCATTCCCAGAGCAACCCTGCAAAGAGGTACTCTTCTCCCATTTTCAGATGAGGAGTTGGAGGCTCATGACATTAGGGAAGGTCTCAGCTCATAAGCGGCCGAGCTCTCATTTGAACACAACTCCTGACTCCAAATCCCTTCATTGTATCTTGTCATGATCAATAAAATCATCGGGGTTTAGTGTACTTCAAATGGGACAGGGTTAATGTGAGGCAAAAGATCCACACTGAATCTTTTTACCATGGAACTGAATTATTTACAGATGAAATGATACAATAGCTGGGATTAGTTTTAAAATAATTGGGGAGATAGGGTGTGGGCTTAGATGAATCGAGATCGGTGTTGAGTTGATAATTGTCGAAGCTGTGTGAGAGATACATAGGAGTTCATTATATTACTCTCATATTTTTTATATTTTGCAAAATAAAAAGGTCTTGGAAGCATTTGGATAAAATAGATGCACAGATGGCATTTTTTCAAAGTCAGTTATTTATGTTTGAAACATCTTTTGTGTTTTGAATTACCCATCTCTGATTTCCTCTGTATTCATATTAATAAGTAACACTGCACAAGGGAATAGAAAGACACTGTTTAGATGATGTGGTCTGACTTTGGGCTCTGGCATTAACTCAGCACCCTCTTGAACATGGATGTTGCCCAGTGTCCCCCTCATATCACGTTCTCCCTAAGAGCTGCAGACACCTTAGGTACTGAACATGAGTGCCTGGGACGCTGGGCAGGTCCTCCCTCCACAACTGGGACAATTGTGGGAAAAGACAACAGTTGATTTTGAAGAAGGCTGCCCTTTTGAACGTGAACTCTGTCCTTAACCATCCTTACTCTATTAGTTCTGTAAACATGGGAATAGGTAGCAACAGAACAGCTACTTTTTCTATTTGTGGATAGAGCTGCTGCTTACCCGTCAGAATGTAAAGAGGTTCCTGTACCCTGAGACAGACCCAACCAGTGGGGAAATGAGATGAAATTTTTAAAGCAAATATTTGAGGAGGAAGATAGAGTAATTTAGAAAAAGTAAATGCATAAAAGTATATTATATAAAAGTATAAATAAAGGGACTGTGGGTTTTTTTCCATTTGAAATGTTTCAGTCAAGGGCTAGAGTTTAATTGTCATAGAGCATTACAAGTTTAGCTTGAATAAAATTGGAAAGGAGTTTGGTTTTTCTATTTATAGGTCAAGCAGTACCATTTGTAAATATTGAGAACCGTGATTGTTCCTTAGTGTATAATTGTTTATAAACCATAGGGAAGAGTGAAATCACTGCCAAAGTGAGGCAACAGTCTTTCCTGATGGTTAAGAGACTAACCGTCTCTACTTCTGTGTATATCTTAGGCCTGGCCTCCAAAGGAAATATACCCAAAGAAACGGTGTGGTTGTGTCCAGGGCTACTGAGCCTAACATTTGGCTGCCTCTGTGTTATTCTGAGTTGTAATTTTCCATGTCATATAAATTTGTAATAATTCTTTAATATGATAGTTTCAGCGAACAAACATTCTGCTCGCTGCATTTCTTCTGAGTGAGTAATTCCCTGACAACTACCAGATCTTGGCAGAAGCACGCCTGGTCATAAGTTATGCTCCACTTTCAGTGTGGTGAAATCTATGATGCGTAACACAGTGTCTTTGAATTCAAATGCTGATTTTCCTAAAGGAAATTTGGGAGAAAAAAGGAAAGGAAATGAAATACTCCAATTTAGGAGTAGAACTAATGTATTATTATAAGACTTAAGAATACATAAACACCAGTGATGAAGTCATTTCTTCGAAGTGGAAGACCATGTGCCATTTTCCCCCTGTTCCCTGCGTGGCTGGATTGTGGTTTAAGTAGCTCTGTGAGCTTCAGTGATTCGAGGGGTTAAAGTCTGTGGGATAAAAGTGTGAGGCAACCAGGGACCAGGTTGGCTTCCATTAAAAGCCAACCTAATCTAACTGAAAGGATTGAGAAGCCTGTCTTTTTTGGAAAACATTAAGCTCTTCCGAGTAGCCAGCAATGGGACTTGACCACACTGTTCATTAATGGGAGTTTGGACGGCCACCGCGTCTGTCTGCCAGCCCCAAATTGCGGCAACTCTCTCCGGCAAGCTCGGGAGGGTTATGTCATCTTGGCTCAGCCGGCCCAACACTTTTTCCATCTGTGAAAATATAGAACATGGTTGCTGATTTTATTCTCTCCAGAGACAGAGAAGGGGACTAAGTTGTTGCTTTTAATTTAAAGAGTATATGTTAATTGGCGCTTTAAAAATCCGTTAAGCTAAGCACGTGTGGTGTAGCCAGTTGCTCCAGTTTCTTAAAAGACAAAGATGGGTACAGAGCAGAGAGCTTTTAGGCCAGTGTGTTAGAAGTTTCCATAGGGAGATGATGCTCCAACCAGGACTTCTTTTCCTCAAGGGTCACCTAGAAGGTATTATTTGCAATGTAGTTTCCTCATGTACTAAGCTTAGTAATAGGATAATTACCATCCAGGGAGAGCTGATGTGTATGCACAGTGATTTGTAGGCTGCACTCATTTCCTCTTCTCTTTCTGCATTTTTACTAAGGTACTCCTGCTAAAACAATTTCCCCATTACATTCAGAGTGTGCTAAAAACAATAATATGGGAGAATCTCCCTTAAAGCTTATACTATTTATTTTATGTGTTTTTCCTTTGCCATTCTTAAGATTTTTTAAAAATAAAGTGACATCTTTCATTATTTTAAAGGTCTCTGGGGAACAAGACTCATGGAGGAAAGCAACACTAACAGAGAGAAATACCTGAAAAGCGTTCTGCGGGAACTGGCCACGTACCTCCTTTTTCTCATAGTCTTGTGCATCTGTAAGTAGAACGTTTCCTGCCACTAAAGGAAAGGTTTTGGAAATATTTGACCTGTCAAAATCATAATTCAAAGGAATTGTATATGCACCACATATACAATTAGTTAGTTTAGAAGGTCTCTTCCCTGTTTTCAATTCCAATTTAGAATTTGGTAAAGCTCTCTTCTTATTAAACATTAGTTAAAGCTCAGCATTATCTGATTGGCCAGTTCATTATCATTTGTGACCATGAAACTCTGACATGCATGTGGCATTGCTTTTATGGAGGGGTGTGTGTGTGTATATATATATATAGAGAGAGAGAGAGAGAGATATGAAGTCCCTTTCTTTTGGATTTAAATGTGTTGTGTGAGTGCCTTCATTCTTCGGTAATCACTAGATTTTTTGCTCTACAGGAAACTTACTGCAGACTGATCTCTTTCTTTTTTTCTTTCTTCTTTCAATAAGTCCCTGCATCCTCTGTGAGGGGATGGGAGGGAAGCCTTAGCCAGAAACGAGTCTTAGAAACTATTTGCCTCAAAGTCCAGAAGGTCCTGGGCAATGGATTTATCCTTTGAATTAAAAGGTGTTGGATGATGGAGTTCCATTGTGTCCCTTCTAAAACCCTTTCTAAGAATAGACAAGGAAGCAGATTGGTGACCACCAGGACCTCTTACTGTATTCCTCTGTAAAAGAAGTCCTTTCTTACAGTATATACTTCGAAATGCTTAAAAATCCACACCAACCGTAGAAAGAGTTCCCTTCTCTGTATATGGAGAGAATCACTACTTAATACTTTAATAACGCCATTCTTATTACATTAAAATTGACCTCCTTGAATTTAATTGGCTAAGCGCTAAAAGCTTCCTTAAAAAACAACTTTTTATTTACTAGATTTATCAAGAGAATAAAAAGATTTGTAAGTTACTATAAAAAATTAAAGAAACATCAGAGTTTCAATATTTGTAATTTTAAGGAATTGACTATTGATTTATTTCATTTCCCCACACTGGTTTGTACTAATACTGATACGCTCTTAATGAGCTTTAGCAGGGTGTGACTTCTTTTTACATTCTCTGAGACTTCGTCTATCCAAGTAGGAACTTAAGAAAAAAATAAGTTATTTAAGCTAAGAAGTGTATCTATATTAACAACATCCATCGTCTTGGTTTTTTCTTACTAATTTTTGAAACTTTCTGTTACTAGTTTAGGAAAGAGTGTCTCATTACTTTTTAAAACATGTTATCTAAGACAGAAATGCTGAGAAGTTTAAAATGATCTGTTCATTACATGGAAAGTTATAAAGCAGGAGATGTGATATTTTTAACTTCTTTATTCTAAGCTGGTAGAGCTTAGAAAAATAAAGTTGAGTTTGCTCCCTGCGTAGAAATAGTGCTTAAATACTAAATTACAGTGGCCTTAAATATTAACAAGTTGATTATAATTGTTATTTAAAAAGTTTTAAAGCATGACACAAACATACATACATATTTCTTTTGCAAAATATAAGGGGCCTATAAGTATGTCTAGAATTTTAGTGGTCCTAAAACTGAGCATCACAATCACCAAGATAATTTTTTAAAATATGCTTTTATTGATTTTAGAGAGAGAGGAAGGGAGAGGGAGAGAAAGAGATAGAAACATTGATGAGAGAGAAACATAGCAAGGCAACCAATAGGTATGTCTCTCTCACATCGATGTTTCTCTTTCTCTCTTTCTCTCTCCCCCCTTCTCTCCCTCCCTCCCTTCCACTCTCTAAAAGTCAATGGGAAAAATATCCTCGGGTGAGAATTTAAAAAAAAAGGAAAGGATCTTAGCAGCCATGTGACCAAACCTCTATTGAATGCTAAAATTCCCCCTGCAGCATCCCTCTCAAATGGCCAGTCATCCTGCCTCTGATTGAGCACGAGTTCCAGGTTAAGAGATTCACTTTCTTGAAATAGTTCAGTACATTGCTCTATAGCCATGTAAGACAGTTCTTCCTTATAGGAAGCCAAAGTCTAGTCCCATCTAACTTCCTTTCTTAGTTCCACTCTCAAAGCCCACATATACCAAGTATCTTTTCCATGTCTCTTCTCCAATTTAGCCCATCAGAAGTTTGGAGACAGACATCCTGTCTCCCCTAGGTTTTCTCAAGGTTAAATCTTTCCAGTTCCTTTAACTTTTTATTTTTATTTTTTTATTTTTTTAAATATATCTTTATTGATTTCAGAGAGAGGAAGAGAGAGGGAGAGAGAGCTAGAAACATCAATGATGAAAGAATCATTGATCGGCTGCAGCCGGCAACCCGGGCATGTGCCCTGACCGGGAATCGAACCCTGATCGCCTGGATCCTAGGTCGATGCTCAACCGCTGAGCCTCGCCCGGCTGGGCCAGTTCCTTTAACTTTTGATCATGTGGTTGGAGACATGCTTTTGAGTAACCCCCATGACAGAAACTCCCTCTGGCACAGGTTTGTGTGTCACAGTCCCTTTGAAAGCACTGCAGAAGCCTCACATGACAGAGTGGAAAAGTGGGGCCATGAGCACCCTCCTCCAGATACTGCGCTGTGATTCATACACCCTCCATAGCCTGACTCTTCATATAATCCATATGATTCCTTGGTCTCTTCACCCGAAACAATAAAGCGCTGTATTTGAGCACCTCTTCCTGGAACACAGTGGAAGACTTCCCTGTTAGCGCTCTTAAATTTTGTCGGATTAGGATTAGCTCATCAGTCCAGTCTGTTGAAATTGTCTTGGATCTAGATTCATTCATCTCATATATTAGCTTCACAGTATCAGCAGAGTTGACATCTCCCTGTTCTTATCCTGGTAAATTAATAAATAAATAAAAATTGATTCAAGAACGTCAGTCCATGAGTCAAAGCTCTTCGGGTGGAGTTCACTGAATTACCTTACCATCTAGCTCAGACCGTTCATGAAACAGGATAATAGGACTTTTTCAAATGCCCGTCTGAATAACTACCATGTCTGTGGTCTATCAGCTGCTGGCCAAGTGCAAAAGGAAGTGAGGATAAGCGGGCGTGATGAACCCTTCACAAAGTCTTACTGGCTCTTAGTGAGTCCTTTCTCCATTGCTCAAAACCATCTTTCTAACTGCGAGTTAAAAATCTTGCCAGCAATATCAATATCAGATAACTGAGGGGCCACTTAATTGTCACATTTTATGTGCTCTTTTCAGCCTTTGTCTGGCATTTGGTCCCATGGCCTTTGACATTCTAGAAACTTCCCTCTTACATATCTATGACTACTTACCCTCTTCACTCTCTGTTTTCTTCTTTCTGAAACATGTTCAGACAGTGATCTTTTCCACAGCTTTCACTGGTGCTTGCATGCTGGTGGCTCCCAAGTCATCCCTGTAGACCTCTCATGAAACTGCATACCTTGTGCCAACTTTTACTGCACATCTCCAGTGGTGTATCTCACAGGTGTTTCATCCTTAACATTCCTAAATTGAACACATCATCCCTCTCATCCAAACTTGCTTCCCTCATGCTCTCTATCTGGGTTAATATTAATTAGCATCACCACACAATGCCCCACCCAAAACCTGGGCATCATCCTAGACGCTTCCCCTTACTCTTCTCATCTGATCATTCCACCTAATTCTTCCTTGTTAGTGCCCCTCAGATCTGTCGTCTTTCATACATCACTATTGTTCCTATTTTAACTTTTATCATCGTTATGCTAGAGGAGTCACTTATTCATTGGACTGTTCAGAAACTTAATTCAAAATTGATGTAGGCCCTGTCCTTAAATGTGGTAAGTGATCTGAAAGAAGACAATTGGGGGAGACGATTTCCCTACTTGGAAGCCCGAAGCAAGAGTGGAGCCAGTCAGCTGAAGAGAGAACTGCATGAATGAAGAATCTGAAACAGGAAAGGGTTTAGAATATTTCGGAAGCTAAGTAAAGGCAGTTCCTGGAGAAAGTGCCGTAAGATGAGGATGGGAAGGTGGTCAGGGGCCAGACCCTGCAGATCTGGTAGGTGTTGCTAAAGGGGAAGCCAGGATTTTACGTAGGGGAATGACAAGATTTATTTAAATTTTAAGAAGATGACTCTGGATGCCGTCGAACCACAGACTGGATGAGATCCGGCATCTGGACTTTTAGGCCCCCCGGGCACTGCTTCCAGACTGCTGTGCCTGAAATCAGGTAAAACCAGGTCACTCTTCCATTTAACGGGCTGCAATCACCTCACCTTCAAGGTCAGGCTGCAAATGTGTACATTAATAGACTAGCATTTCACTGCGCGTTCTTTGCTTGCTGCTTCAGACCTACCATTCCCGGTGAACACCTGGCACCGACCACATCTAACCACCTGTCAGCCTGACAGAGGCCTATGCTCCCGCCTTCCTGTTGGTCTAATTCCCCCTCGTCCTTCAAGATCAGCTCAGAGCCAGCTCCCTGGGAAGCCTTTGTCCACTAGCCCCCCGCTGAGCTGCGCTGATGTTCTGGGGCACCTGCCACAGCGCTCCTCACATCGGATTGTCACACTAGGTCACGCATCTGCCTGTCTCCCTCACGCAGGGGGGAGACGGGAATGCTGTTCGGTGCATCTCAGATATGGTACATGGATGTTCTCACCAAATGCTGACAACTCGCCCACTTTCCTTCTGTCTTATCCCCCAGTACTTCCCGCTCACTAACAACTTCCCCTGACACCACAACCAAAGCAGTTCAAGTCTAATCCCGGTGTGATTTATGTATAGCACACTTTGCGGTTATAGGCGGCAGTTTTGGTTGGTAGAGCCCCTTTCTGATGTCTTTGTATTTTAGCTCCACTGCGCCCCCTTGAGGCTATGGCACAACACGGAGCTGGCAAAGAAGCCGCGCGTTTCCTGTTCAGGCTGATGGTGCCACTCTGTGGTGGATGGCCTGGAATCCTGGGCCAGGCACCTTGGCTCTCCTCTCTTTCTATCTGGTGTATTTATATATGTGTGGCAGTTTTTATTTCGTCTTTAGCCCAAGCATTATTAAGAGAATTTTTAAAAAAAATTCTAAATGGCTTGGTTTTATCTGTATTTTTATTTTTATTTTTTAATGTTAATATTCTGCATATGTGGTTTGAAAAATGTTGGCTGGTTGGTTTTTGGTTTTTGTGAGGAGTTTTTTGTTTGGTTTGGAGGTTTGTTTTGTTTTGTGCCTTCAAACAACAGAAATTTACTCTTTCACAGTTCTGGAGGCAAGAGGTCCCAAATCAAGGTGCCTGCACCATAGTGCCTCTGAGACCTGTCAGGGAACCCTTCCTTGCCTCTTCCTAGCTCGTGGCAGTTAGCCGGCAACCCTTGGTGTCGTGGCCTGTAGCTGCCTCACGGCCATTCTCCATCTTCAGAGGGCGTGCTCCCTGTGTCTGTTTCTTCACATGGCCAGCTGCTTATGAGGACACCTGCCTGGTTGAGTCTTAAATTTAGGGATTTACTGATGTTCCCTTTGGTAACCTGGCAAATTACTAATTTTTGTAAATGTTTCCTGGATATTTGAAAAAAAATGTGTGATCTCTTGGTGCAGTATAAAGTTTGATGTATATACATTAAATCACATTTTTAATTAAAAACTCAATATCCCTGGTTAATTTTTGTCTACTTTCTCTGTCCAAGACTGAGAGAATATAAATTTAAGTTTCCAACTACGATTGTGATTTTGGTAATTCTCCTTATATTGCTAGAAGGTATTGCTTTCTATATCTTAATGTTGTTACTCAGTGCCTAAGAGTTCATTGTAGTTAAGTCGTCATGTATGGTATTATTTATCAGTATAGAATAATCCATTTATTTAGCTCAATACTCACTTTATGATCTTCTTTGACAGATGATTATGCCACTTAACAAGTTTTAAAATATTTTATCCCTAATATATATCTAATACGTCTTTTTTCATTCCCTTATGTTTTGCTTCATTTTGAGTGGGTCTCATAAAAGTTCTAGAGATGCAGTTTTCATTTTTTTAACCAATATTTAATAAGACTTTGCCATCTAGTAAGTTTAACCTCTTCACATTTCATACATCTGTCAAGTTTTTGTCATCTTTTCCCCTCTCCTTTTATGCCTTCCTGCTAGGTTTCTTTCTTTCCTTTTGTTACACTGGGACACTTTTCTTTGCTTTTTATTCTAATGATTTGGGGTTCATTCAGTACAATGTCCTTTATTTTTTTCCTAGTTGAGTTTATATTTTTACAATATTAAGAATACTATAGTACCCACTGCCTATTTTGAAATGAGAGCACGTTTTTAAGACAGTTTTGTTTAATTTACATGCTGATTAGCTGGTGATGCTGTGATGATATTTTTTATTCTGGCTTATTTTATGGAAATGGAACTTGGGAGCTAAGTCAAGGACTAAATAGCAGAAGAAATATATGCGTGTGGGATATATATGTGTCCTTTACATTATATTTTTAAATATTCTCCTTTCTAGTCCTCACTTAAGGTTACCTATTTTATGCTGTAATTATTTTTCTCTCACCATTTAGTTAATTTAAAGAGTGGATGCTACCTTCCAAGTGGGCTTTCTTCATCAGGGACTGAAAGGATATAAGTCTTATGCAAAGATATACATTTCTTTACATAATTTCTCCAGTTGAGCTACACAAAAGCCCTAAATGTTATTATTCCCATTTTCTAGATAATGAAACGGAAGCCCAGAAAAGTTAAGTAGTGCCCAGCCTGTGTGGCTCGGTGGTTGAGTATCCACCCATGAACCGAGGGCACTGGTTTGATTCCCATTCTGGGCACGTGCCTGGGTTGCAGCCTCAATCCCTGGTAGGGGGTGTGCAGGAGGCAGCCGATCTATGGTGTTTTTCTCTCATCGATGTTTCTATCTCTCTATCCCTCTCCCTTTGTCTCTCTAAAAATCAATAAAAACATATTAAAAAAAAAAAAAGTTAAGTAGTTGCCCAAGATCCCAAGACACTGAGACCAACAACATAGAGGCAGACATTCAAGATGAAGCAACTTGGAAACTCAAACCCAAATCATTCTGACTCCAAATGCAGGGGCCCTTTAGGTACAGCCTAGATGTAGTCATGGTGCATCTGACTCCTGGAGTGTGTGGAGATGTCACTCAAAGATATCCCACGGACCAGCCCAGGGCCTGGCACAAGGGAGGGACTGAATTAATGTTTGCAGATTGGTAATTGAATAATCATTCCCCTCAAAGCTAGATGGCATTGTTTCTCTGAGTGTCCAGCAGGTGGCGCTACATAGCCAAGGAGATCATCACTTCCCTTTTAGTGAAGCCATAAAATTCCATACAGGTCTTGAGTGTTTCAAAAGCAAAACCAAAATTGAAAAATAAGAAATTAAAGGAGATATATTTTCAGATCATTTGCTAAAATTTATGTTTATATGTAACTATACCATTTTTATAAATAAAAAAATTTAAATAAGTTGTCAAAATTCCTTTTAGCAAAACAAAAAGACTCCACAGGTAAAAAATTCCAGAGTGATCTGCATTAATCAATCCAATACAGATTCCAATTTCAAGTTAACTGAGAAAAATAAACTTATTTAGTTGGCCTTGGGGGGCCTTCACTACTACTCTCTAGCATCGTGTCAGCTTTGTTGCCTTGCCTGACTGGTCTACAGAAGACCTTTGTAGAATACATTTTACCCCACCCATCCCTCTGTGGGGCTGGGTAGGCAGTGTTCTCCCCAGGACTCTGAGCTCCTGTTCTTCAGGGCAGAGATCACATCTTACTCATTTTCATGCCCAACACCTTGTTCCGTAACTGTGAATGGATTAAAAGCCTAAACCCTTAACTCTGCTCCAGTACAGTGTTTGAAAGGTGGCAGGTCATGTAACACTTAAAGAGGACTGTTCCTGTCCTAATTAGAGGGCCATAGGATGACAGAGGAGGAAGCCTAACTGAGGAAACTGGAAACCCCCTCTAAATATAGCACACATGTCGTGTGGATTAGGTGTGTTTATGCTCTATTGGCTGCTCGACGTGGACTCTCAGACATACTTCTGTTTCGATCACTATTGTCTCCTCTCTTTTGATAATCTTAATTTTCTATGATGCTCGGTTGGGAAAGGGGATTATATGAGAGAGATTTTACTGAATAGCATTTAATCCCAAATCATTTAAAACAAGGTTTTAAAATGCATTTTATGAAGCCTGAGATTACTGTAGAATCAGCTAAGTATTAATCACCTGCTGGGTGTTGAGAACTATGGTCAAAAGAAGTATAAAATGTGTTTCTTCTGGAAGCTTTTTGTCAGCTAATTATAGGGATTATACATGTTATACCTGCAATCATCAGAGTCCAGCATAAGATAGTACTCATTAAAGTGCTGACAGTTGTAATAGATATGTTATAGCAATCTGATTAAGAAGGATGAACCACCATTATTGGATATTTAAGTGTCAGCCACTGAATTGGATAATTTTTAGTTTTTATTTTTATTTAAGCACCAAAAAATCCTATGGAATAGCTAATAATCCTCACTTTACAGAAGAGAAAATTTAAGCTCAGAAAGTTTCAGCAACTTGCACAGATTATATAGCAAGTAAGAGGCATAGTCAAGATTCAGACCCTGACCTGTGATCTATTAAAACCTGTGAATTATCTTCCCACCTCCCTCCTGGACTTTTCAGAATGGGCTGGTCTGATCAGCCAGTCTTCATGGCAGGGGTGGTGCTTGAGTTTAGAGGGTTTCATAGGAGATTTGATAGGTGGGAGGAAGATGTGTCTGTATCTGTCAGCATCCTAAAGGGGAAGATACGAAAAACTGGAAGTGGTAACTAAAGAGAGTTTTAATGAAGGGACATTTATAGAGGTGTGGCATGGTTACGGAGACCAAAAAGGGGAGAGTGGAGAACTGATCTGGGAACAAACAGAGGATGGCCTGCACGTACCATTGTAGGGAGAGTGAGCAGCACCTGCACCGCTGTGGGCCGGGGAGCTGGGTGCGGCCTGCCCTGGGGCCTGTGCAGAGCAGCCTCCCGGGTGCAGAGGGTCTGACCTGGAGGCGCTGGGAGGTGAAGGTGGAGAGGCCTGTTGGAATTCCCAGATGTCGAGGAAACACGCCTGATCTTAATTCAGTACTCAGTAGTGAGCCAATTCTGTTTCACATATGTCAGTGTTAACGTATTTCCTTTATAAACCAGGGAGGTAGGGAGCTACCCTAGAAGAGTGCCGGGGAGGGGGAGAGGGCGAGAGCGCAGGCCTGCGGCCGTCTGCCCTGGGCCGGGCGCGTGCAGCTCACCGGCTCTGTGTGTTCCAGTGACCTACGGGCTGATGAGCTCCAGCGTGTACTACTACACTCGCGTGATGTCACAGCTCTTCCTGGACACCCCAGTGTCCAAAACGGAGAAAACGAACTTTAAAACGCTTTCTTCGATGGAAGACTTCTGGAAGGTATTTACTAATAACTTTGAAAGTACCTCTTTGTCACTGAAAATTGTTTGTGTTGCTTCCTAAGTTCCATTTGGCAGTACCTGCAGGGCCTGCTGTGTAGGATGTGAACGTTATAGTGAGTTGTTAGAAGTATGTAACCTTGCCCCATGCTGAATATTTCAGACCTTAACTTACTTAATCCCCACAGCAGCCATACAAGGTAAACACCGCTATTCCCCAGGTTGTAAGTGAGTCTCAGGTTGATTCAGAGTGATTCCACATGGCCAGGGAGTGAGAAAAGCGGGCTGTGGTCTAGCCCGACGGACACTTCCACACCTGGTTTATAATTCACACAGCCATTCATGATGCAATAACTATCCTGAGTACCTCTCAGGATGTAAGGCCCACAGGGTAAAATTTAGCTGTTTTGTCTTCCTTTGGTTTTTTTTTCTTTTTTGTGTCTGTTGACCATGGCAGGTACTCTAGACCAGTGCTTGCTACAAGGCACTTGATACGAAGATCTCTAATGTAAAATTCATCCCAGCCCCTTCCCAAATTGCCAGATTCCAGCACGGTAGCAGAGGATGAACAATGAATGATACCATAGGGAAAACATGCAAGTAATGTGGAAGATATGGGCTCAGCGCCTACAAAAATGGGGGGGAGGACACAGGGGGGTTGGAAAAGAAATGATTGTTTCTTCCTGAGGAGATATTTGCTAAAATTCTTAAAAAACCCAGGGATCACAGCTGTTGATTTAAAAGATAGAGGAAACTGGATTACAGGAACATGTTCATTCTAAAGCCTAAAAATACTTGCCATCCAAAATTGCACTTGAGTAATATGAACATTTTCTTACCTCAGCTGGGCAAATCAGCTTATCTCTGTTGATCATCTGATAAGACACAGAGAATGGCTTGATGTCTTTCCTGTAGGCAAACTAACAAGGAACTTTTCACGCATACACACAGTTCTATGATAATAAATGCCAAGCTCTAAAAGCAGGGGTGGGCCGGGGTTAGAGAGTTCACTGTATGGAAAAAAGTCCAAACAGTTAAAAGATCCACCAGATGGCAGACTGTTTATCAAAACTAGAGCCTTTTCCTTTCCAAACAAGTTTCAAACCCTGATTATTATTATTTTAATAAAGGAAAGTGAAGTTGATCATGGCTGTGGGTTTATGTAAATAGCCCCCTCTACCCCAGCCTTCAGTCCTAAGGCAAAAGTCAGAGTTTCCCTTTAGTAAGCGCCTACTGTGTGCCTATTATTCTGTGGAATGATACGGAGAAAATTAGCATGGCCCCTACACAAGGATGACATGCAAATTTGTGAAGTGTTCTATATTTTTTTTTAAAAAGAAATGTACTGTTCATTATTCATTTGAAATATCACATGCACTTTTAAAAATTAAAAGTTTTAAACAATAGCATCCTAGCAATTAGGTGCCAGCAAACAACACACTGCCACAGACAAATATTTTGAAAAGCATTTACAGAAATACATTACACAAAATTCTATCTTGAATCCCTAAAAATAAATTAATACTCAAAATATTACTACCCCAACTCTCAAATTTAGTAGTATATAGGAAATTTTGATTTATATATTTATTCTATAATATATGAAACATCTTTATACATGTTATCCATGTTAACTGCATAGGCATTGGTTCCAGTTTTAACAAGACTGAAAAAATGCTACTTTATGTAGTTTTTGTATATTTAAGGACTATTGTGCAATATGCATAAAACTTCAGAAAACCAGTCAGCACCATTGTTTTATCTTTTACTGAAAATACAGTATTTATGGTATACAAAAAGAGGTCTTAACCCAATAAAACTTAAATAATTTTAAGTTAAAACATCTGTAACACTTTAAGTGCCTTGCAGATATCTCATGTATAAAGTCTGCTCAGTAAAATCGTCTAAATATTAAATAATAACTATAACCAAAATGCGTCTCACAGGAATCTTAGTGAGAATGGCCAGCAGTCATAATAGAAGGCAAATCCCAACTACAGCCAGTAGAAAGTGCTGCTGTAAGAAAAATTGTAATCATAAATTGTAATGGTTTCATGAATTTGCCTCACTAGACACTCTCCTTTGGTAACCATCGGTGGAATAAAAGCATAAGCCTCCGAAAGAGTTAGAGCATGTTAGTGTTTGCTTTCCAGCAAAACTAAAAACAAAACCTGAAAATATCAAAAGATGAGATTTCTTGGTTTCTGTTCATACTGTGAAGTGAAAACTGCAGGGTAATCCCAATAGGTTGAACCTCGTTGAGATCTGAGCACTCTACCTGTTTGTTGAGATCTAGACCATTCTCTTTCAAATCAGATGTAGTAACCATGCAAAAGATGGACATTACAGGTGCAGGAACCCAGGCTCCAAGGAGGATCCTGCTCTGGGCCTCACAACTAGCAAATGATGGAGTAAGAGCCAACTTAAATCTCTCTGACAGCAAAGCCACCCTTGTCACTCTGCTATGTTCACAGTGCTACCCTCTTGGTCATGCAAACATTCCAGGAAGGAGCAAGGCAGCCGCTGAGCTTGGAGCTTTTCAAAAATGTTTTCTGTGCTTTCAGTTCACAGAAGGCGCCTTATTGGATGGGCTCTACTGGAAGACCCAGCCCAGCAACAGAACTGAAGCTGACAACCGAAGCTTCATCTACTACGAGAACCTCCTGTTGGGGGTACCACGGATACGGCAACTCAAAGTCAGGAATGGATCCTGTTCTATCCCCCAGGACTTGAGAGATGAAATTAAAGAGTGCTATGATGTCTACTCTGTCAGTAGTGAAGACAGGGCTCCATTTGGTCTAAGAAATGGAACCGCGTAAGTGTATGTGGCTCATGGCCTTGTGTCCTGGCCTTTCACTGACATTCAGTCATTCATTCATTCATCCATCCATTCTCTGGCTCCTTCATCTAAGAAGATGCTTTCAATGCTTATATTTAAGGTCATGACCAAATTGACCTTTGATTTCTCAAGTTTTCTCTGCTTTTTACCCCCTTTCAGCTTCTACATACATATTTTTCAAAAGGCTAAATCACTGACCAATGGTCCACAAGAAAGAAGCTACTGGGCCTTCAGAGGTTTCTTTTAAGATGCCTGGATCTTATTTTTATATAACCAGTGATATCATTCACTAGGTTATTACTAGGCAGTTTTCTGGTATAGAAATTTTTTGTGAGCTCTTACAAATAAATTTTTGTTCCGAGTGCAGTTATTTAAAGTGGATAATAAGCCTGTGGGGGAGTTTTTCTATCTGGTCTAAAGTCCATGCTTCTCAAAGTGTGTGTATGGTTTTGAATGTATATCTATAAAGTGCATATTTACAGGGATTTTTTTTATGCTCTTTGGTATACATACTTAAAACATTTCGTATATTAAGGGAGGACAGTCATTATTTTTAGAATTATGTAGTTATTAGAAAGAAATGAGAACTCGCAGGCTTTTCCACAGTGGGCCTCTGGGGGTCACTGCCATGGTTAAGTTACTGTGGTGAGAATTGCCATCTGAGCTTTACTAAGCTAATTCTTTCCATTCATCTAGATTCCTTTTCTGGGAGCGCAGGCTCCCAGAATTCCGGATTTGTTCATATACCTTTTCTATGATCAGATTCATTGTCATCTAGTACATACCCTATTTAATGCCAGGCTCCACAAGAAATTTAGTAAAAATCAGAAGATTTAGAGTAAAGAGACTAAACTTAAAAGACTTTTCCCCCCAGGTTATGATAGTGATTTTCCTTTCCAGTGCTCCTTTTTCTAGTTCCCACAAAGCATAAGCATGCCCTTAAACTGTGGAACCTTGTCAAATATTTTACTTTATCTCATATCATAAATAAGAGAATTATGTAGCCACTGCCCCATGCCGGATGCTGTTTAAGAAATGATTTTATCCATTGTCTCATCTACTCACCACGAAACAACTCTGAAGTAGGTAACACCTCCATTTTATAGATGAAAAAACAGAGGCTCGCTTATCCAAAGTGCCACAGGTAGTAAGTGGATCCAAGCTGGGATTTAACCAGCTTGACCCCAAAACCTGTGTTTTCTTCTTTCCTGTCAGTTATGTTAAGGTGGCTTCCTGCCACCCTCAGCTCCCCATCATTCTTCAAGCTTCTTGGGGGCAAGGACTCTGTTTTGTTCACTGCCCTGTTCTCAAAGCCTTGAACAGTGCCTGGCCTGGAAAGATGCTCAGTAAATACCTATTGGGTACGTGGATGAATAAGCGATTTCCATTGAGGGCGGACTGCTGAAGATCTTTCTTGTGTGTGCCTAAGCTGCCCCGTGATCCTACCATATTCTCAAGTTACTCCCATTTCTCCTTCCCTTCAACTCTAGACTTGTTGAAAGAACAGTCTTCACTTGCCACCTCCACTTCCTTACCACCGATTCACCCCTTAAAGCTTAAAATCCTTTCTGTGGAGATCTCTCTTGGAAGCTCCCAGTGACCTCTAGTTAACAGATGCACTGGACAGCTCTCCGTCTTCCTCCTAGTCAGCCTCTGCAGAGTGTGCGGCGCTGATAGCTTGTTCTTTTGACTTCTGTGAGTGACACTGGACTCGGGTTCTCTTAATGCTGCACCCCCTTTCTTTCCTCCCCCCTCCTATCTTGCTCCCAGGTTCTATATTCAGATCTCTGCCTTTTCTTTCTTTATATTCTTTCCCTTGAAATTCAGATGCCTTCCCCTGTCATCTCTATTTGATGACTCACCATCCCTGAGTGTCCGCATGTGTCTGCATGTTCCCGGTGAGGTCTTCATTTCCTAGCAGGGCCCTGGGGTGGCAGCAGCAGTCAACAAAGCAGAGTCCAATGCCGTGTCTTCACAGATCTTATATTCTAGTGATAGAAGGTAAATCTGCATTCTCCCACACGCCCCCCCAGCTCCTATAGTTCCGTAATCTCCAAACTGAACCTATCACTTTCTTACTGGATTTGCCCTTCCTCCTGTTGCTGGCACCACCATCTTCGCACTGTCCCAGAAGAGAGAGCACAGAGTCGTTCTTGAGATATCCCCTCTCCCTTGCCCTAGTTTCCAAGTCAGTTGCCAAGTCCTGTTGACAGTCACTGCAGTGGAGACACTGTCTGTCCTTCCTTCTTCCCACCGTCATTGCTCTGGTTCAGGCCTCACCACCTCTTGATTATTGCAGGGACTGCTGGCTGAGCTGTGTCAGGGCCCCCAGGACCACCCCCAGGTCCAGTGATTCTCTGGAAGGATTCACAACACTCAGCGTATACTCATATTCATGGCCAAGGTTTGTTGCAGCAGAAGGATCATAGAGCAGAAGCAGCAGAAGGTGCGGGCACATGGGGCGACGTCCGGCTGAAACAAAGGGCAAGCTTCCCAAAGCCTTCTCCCAGTAGCCGCACATGGGATAGGATTCATTCCTCCAGTAACCATTTGCAACAGCATGTGTGAAATGTCATCTGTCAGGGAAGCTCATTAGGGGCATAGTGCCCTAGTGTTAACAGGGTGCTGGTCACATAGGTACCCTCTCCTGGCATGTACCACAATCCCAGGGTCCTAGAAGGAAAGCATGCGTTCAGCCTAAGCCACCTTTTGTTTGCAGACAGCTTGGGCAGGGTAAGGCACTCCTGCCAGTCAGGGAAAGTTATATATCAGTGTAGAGAACTATTTATCAGTCAGGTTCCAGATTCCAACCAAGTCCAACCCTGCAGGCAGGAAAGGCCATCTCAGACCTGCTCTGTTAACTCCTTTCTGCGCATGGGCTCTCTGCTGCTCACCACACCAGTCTTTCCTGCCGCCGCCAGAGTAACCAGTTCTGAGCCTCTCAGAAACTTTCCCTGTGGTGACTCCATGCTTGCCCTTCACAACTGACCAACTGTCTCCCTTTTGACCCTCTTTTCTTCAAACTACTGGCTGAGTGCCTTGTACTTCTCTGGCCTTGCCTGGCTCCAGCGTGAAGATGCCTTTCCCACCCACCTGTCTGAGCAAGTCCGAACCCTACTCACCTTTCACGGCTGGTTCCAATGTGACTTCTTCCCAAAGCCTATGTGATCCCCCTTTCCCATCACTGGACCTCCAAGCAAAGACAACTTTCTTCTGATCTGAAATTTCTCTATACTGCTCTTTTTATTCTTGTTATCATTTATCTTGTATTTTAATTGTTTAATTACGACTCATCTCTCCCTACTTGTTACAGACTTGGGAGAAAAAAGATCCTGGTTCATCTTTATATTCCCATAAATACCAAAGAAACATCTGGCTCCTAAGTGAGCCTCTGCAAATATTTGTGGATTAAATTCCCAAATGCCGTGTGGAGTCGTAGTTAGTTCATTTGCCAAGAGTGGCACTCGATGAACTTGTACCTCTTTTGGGTGAAGTCTTCTTTGGGGGCCTAGGGTCGTCTAGTCCTAGACTACAGTTACCCACGGAAGGCAGCCATAGGAACTAACGGCTAATAGCTCAGGGTATGGAGCCAGACAGTCCTGATCTGTGTTCCTGACTCTGCTCTCAAAGGTTTTGAGACTAAGTTGACCTCTCTAAGCCTCAGGGCCCTCCTCCCTAAAATGGGAATAATAACTCTATGAGAATTAAGTAAGAAAACACTCATGAAGCACCGTGCCAAGCACATCACCCAACTCGGTAAGACTTACATATTTTTAATTACATACTCTCTCTCTTACCAGGAACCAACTATCTTTGTAATTACCACAAGTCTTCTACTGATTTTACCTGTTTGTTTTCATTTTGTTTTTTAATTAGTTGGATCTATACAAGCGAAAAAGACTTGAATGGGAGTAGCCACTGGGGCGTGATCGCAACTTATAGTGGAGCTGGCTACTACCTGGATTTGTCAAGAACAAGGGAGGAAACAGCCGCTCAGATTGCTAGCCTCAAGAAAAATGTCTGGCTGGACCGAGGAACCAGGGCAACTTTTATTGACTTTTCAGTGTACAACGCCAACATTAACCTTTTCTGTGTGATCAGGTGTGTACCCAGTGCACACATTTTCGTGTATTTGTAGGTGCATCCCAATCTAGAGGTAGGCCAGAAAACTGCTGCCTGCAGTTGGCTGACTGAATGTCAAGCATCAGAGCTGATAGCAAGGGAGGGGTGAAAACTGAAGGCTTGTTGGGGTAAGGATATTGGAGGGAACGGATTTAGGATCCTGAATTCTAATGGGTTGGGAAAACCTTAAGTCTGGTTCAGATTCCTCCCAACAACACTGTTTTGCTAACATCTATTTGTACTCATTGTAAGGCTGATCAGTGCTCCATGCTCCATGACTAAGGCCCCAGCCATCAAATCTTGACTCATTTCCCTGAGTTTCCCAATCCCAGATGATGCCCCTGGTATTAGAACATGAGCACAGTGGTCAGTAACATTTCTGGGTTCAGTAGGATACCCAGGTTGTCAGCTTGTATTCAAGATTTGCCACAGGCACATTAAGTTCCTTCTTACAGATCCTGTGACATTGCCACCATAAGCACTCAAGTGACAGTGAGGACACCAACAGAGATTCCACTCATTTGTCTGGGGCCTCTTATTCATTCATTCACTCAGCAAACATTTATTTAACATTTAATATGGTGCCAGGCACTATTCTAGGTCCTTGGGACATACCAGTGAGCAAGATAAAGGTCCCTGCCCTTGCAGAGCTTTGCATCAATCAGGAAAAGATAGATAGTAGGCAATTAACAAACAAAAAACCCCAACAAATTAATTAAACTATATATTAGAAGGTAATGTGTTATTTAAAAAGAAAGTAGAATAGGCAAGGAGGTCTGGAGCTCACCCACTTGAATCATCCTGGTGACCATTTTGCCAACACCTAAACATCATCAACATGAATTACTTGCACACATATTTACCTACCAAATAAGGATAAATTTTCATAATATCTTTATTTTGTGATCATTTTTGAGGCTAAACTCAACTTTGCTTTACATGGCCAGTTAGATTTTTCCCAGTCCTTATATTTAACAACTTTTGCAGAAAGTAATATCACATTAAAACAAATAACAATTATTACCAGAAATGAATGAAAATCTATTGCAATTTTTATTGAACATTTTAATGATTCCAGCAAGGATAGGAAGAGGGTAGCAACAGGCTGGCAATGCTGGTTGACTTTTAAGGAAATGTCTATTTATAGAAGGTCTTGAGTATGTCTTTCTCTTCCTCTCCATGCTTTAGGGGTGAATACTGTCAAAACAATTACTTCATTTCTCTACACTGCTGTCTGAGTTTCTGGAAGGGGTTGACAGATGTAGGGCAAGACAGCCCAGAGAGAGATGACTTGGCATAAAGGCTACTTCCTGACCTTGTGAGTTTGCACTGAGGCTGTCACGAGGCTCTTCATTTCAGTGTTGCTCTCCTGATTTTCATATAAAAAAGAAAAAAAGCAGGAGAAAAAAGCAGAGACTGACAGTAAAGAGGAAGGAAATATTTTCACAGTTCTGTGACCAATTCTAATTTGCTGTGACCCCTGCCTATATTTGATTACTGCTCATGCATGGGTCTTAGATGCTCAGGTTCTAGATGGAGCTACCCATCCTGTAAAAGGAGAAATGGTAAGACTAATAGCTGACTAAAGGTCCTTTAAAAGTCTTACAGTTAAGGAGGTAGAGATTCTGTTTCCAGTTTGATAGAAAGACTATACCATTGAGTGAATCATTTAACTTTCTCAGTGGGACACCTATAAAATGGCAATTTGACAAGAAATGTCCTCAGTTTAATTGTGTTACCACTAGAGATCAATGCCATCAGTAGAAATGGGGGAAAAATGAGACATTTACTGAGCACCTATTAACTGTAAGGCTCTGGGAAGGGAAGCAGAAAAGTACTCCCAGGGTAAATTATTCGATTCAAATGAGTGTTACCAAATGAATGAATGGGAAACTCTGGCCCTCTCTTTATATATGTACAAAACATACAATTCTCAACCAGATTATACATGTTTTGAGTGCATTGACTTATATTTCTTATTTCTTCATTGCCTACTAGAATGACCTGCATTTAATAAAAGGCCTAGAAAGGCTTGTTTGTTGATTAACTTTTACATTACAAAAAAAATGTATATAGCATTTTCCAAGTAACCAGAAGTAAAGGGGAGACTTATCTTTTACCTTTTGTTATATAAAATTCTTCAAGTCTAGAGTCACTGGCTTTGATTAAAAAAATGTTTTGCGACTAGTTTGGGGTGACATGTGGTTATGATTTTATTACCTCACAGTGCAGGGACAGAACAGATGGACTCCTGTCCTGGACGCATCTGTATGTTGTTGTTATTGTTACTGTCTTAATTGTTCTTATTACAATGCAGGTTATTGGTTGAATTCCCAGCAACAGGCGGTGTGATTCCATCTTGGCAATTTCAGCCTGTAAAGCTGATCCGCTATGTCACAACTTTTGATTTCTTCCTGGCGGCCTGTGAGATTATCTTTTGTTTCTTTACCCTCTATTATGTGGTGGAAGAGATATTGGAGATACGCATTCACAAGCTACACTATTTCAGGAGTTTCTGGAATTGTCTGGACGTTGGGATCATTGTGGTAGGTTCAGGACAGCACCAAATCCCACCTCTGTTATAAAAACTTGTCAGTGAGAGTCTCTGCCTCCTCCGCAGGTGCACCTGAAACTTCTCTGTCACACCAACTCTGCTGTTACTAGTCATTTCCTCAATTTGCATGAGTAACCCTCTGAATATGGAAGTAAAGGGCCATTTACAGTAACCTCTCAAGTAGCCACACTAATAACAAAAACAATAATAACTCATATTTGCCTTTGCTGTGCCATGAGATATGGGGGGGGAAAACAGTGTTTTGTGTTGTTGATTCTGTTTTTTGTTCATGATATTTTTCTTCAACTGCTAGTAAAAATTGATGTATATTTTTCTACACGTGTGTAACGTTACGGCAAGAAGTATCCTGAAATAGTTTGGGTGGCAAAGAAAGCCTCTCACTGTTTACATTTTTCTGCAAATGGCCCACAGTGTACAGAATGTATGGCCAGCAAGATTTTCTCTATGAGGTGCAAGAAATCGTAAGAGTTATGACAGAGTCAAGGCTATGACACCTGCAAGCCCCCTGCCTGCCCCTGGCTGTATTATAACCTCTAACATTTCGTTCAAGATGGTTCCCTTCAGCATCAGCCACTTCCTTCCAGAAGCTTCAGGGTAGAAACGTATGTTTGCAAGCTTTTCTCCCTTCTGCAATACCAGTCTGTTGCTAAGCCCTGTTACACAGTTAAGCATCTAATAACATGCATAGTTGTCACATGTTAAAGGTCGACCAGCAGAGGTGCCCCTCTGACACCTCAGGAAGTGATGCGTCACTGCTGTCTCATCCTCTCTTCTAGTTTTCTACTCGCTGGTCACTGTTCTTCCCCCGCAGCCAGAAATTCATTTGTGAAGCATTTACATCAAGTTATTATCAAATCATCCGTAGGATTAGTTTAGTAAAATATAGACAATATGTTATCGAATATTATCAATACGTTAACATATTATGTTATTAAATGTAAAAAATATTAATATGTGAATAAAAGAATACTTAAGACATAAAAAGAGCTATAAGACATAAAAAGGAGCTATTATTGCATGGCAATAATAATATGGACAGGAGCAATAATAGTAACATTTGGTATCACTTTAGAAACCATATGTGCTGAGCACAGTCCCAAGAGCTTTTCATATATAGAAGTTCATTTAATCCTCACAAGAACCATCTTAACCACTCTGTCACTGCTCATAAACCATGTACATGTGTACTTGAGAAGAGCTTTTAATTCTACAGAACACAGTGGAACTGATCCAACCCTGATGCAGTTAGAAGTGCATCCCTTCTTTCATGACGGTCCTGTTAACATCACCCAGTTCCTGTGGGTGAACTCTTGATCCCGACATTCTCAACGGATTAATAATGAACACGGTTACCAAAAAATGTGCAGTATTCAAGGAAGCTGGAAAGCTGACGATACTAGAAATAATTTTCCAAAATATTTTGTACTGTGGGATGGCTGACAGCAGTCCGTATACATTAAAAATTATTCCAGAAGACAATTATTGTTTGGAACTCTAAAGATGCTAAACCTAGTGATTTGGTTTATATGAATTATTTATATTTAGGTCATTGAGGATAATGGTGAAAAGATGCATGTAATTTATGCTATAATTTATGCTAATTAATAGCAATCTTCTTTTTAACTGCATTACTTCAGTATCAGCAAAAGGCTAGTCAGTGGTATTCAGCTTTTTGTGATTATGGACGCCTGTCAGAAAACTTTGATGACACATCCTAATGTATTTGTTTATAAAGTGTGTGTGTGTGTATTGGTATAACAGGTACATTTGTAAGCAGTACACAAGATAGAATGAAAGATTGGGATAAAAATAAATAGAAATAGAATTCTAGCACTTTCTCATCACCTGCCTAGAAGCTTTAATATATTCTTCCCACACCCCAGTGAATTGCCTCCTCCCCACTTTGGAGACCACTGGACAAAGCAGCCGATGATATCATTGGAGTTGAGGATAGTTTCTTTGGCTCAGCAGCCACAACATTTTGCAAGTATTTCTTTGAAAACTTACTTCACTGTGCTGTTCTTATTATTTTAACTCTTAGTGCTGCCAAGACAACAGTTCAGATGGAGTGCTTTTAAAAAGAACAAGGAAGGACCACTGGAATCTCACTTCGTCAAACCTTCCTGGCCCAGTGGGAATAAAGGCACTTTCTGCTCACCCCCCCTCATTGCCCGGTGTTCCATCAGACCTTGAACCCTCGGAAAGGAGCCAGAGCTTTTTTGTTTTATCTGGCCCAAATTTGCTTGCCCACCTGACTTGAAAAAAGTCCAACTGAAACTTGAAATGATATCCTAAATATAAATATAACATCTTAGAATCATTTTGAAAATATTTCCTCTATTTTTGTGTTTTTTTCTAACACTCTGAAGTCTACAGGCTTACTTCAGTCACCCATTTGTCCTAAGCAATAGTCTTTCAAAACTAGCAGAATTACTGAAAAAAGGAAGACTACCTTCCTTTTGTGTGTTTGACTTCCGTTGCTTCCTCTTGGCCCCCAGCACAGTGCTGTGCACATAAACGTCCACTATGTATTGGTTGAATAGAGGAAAGAATGGATGGCTAGAAATGGAAGAAAAGATCATAGACAAAAACAGAAAGCAATATGAGGCAGAGAAGGCAGAAGGGTAGAAAGTGCTTTAAATGAGGGTGGCAGAAAAAACAGAAGTCATCCGTGTTTGAATTTAATTTGAAACATGGCAACATTTTGTGTGTGCACTCATTGAAGTCCTATTCCTAACTTAGGGAAATGCAAAAAGCCAACATATTGTTTTACTTGTTTTATGACAGTGTTCAACACTTTCCATGTGTGTGAGTGACTTTTGTGGACGCCATTAGGAGAGCAGAACGTTGAGCCCTAGAATTAATACAGTGGCAAAGAGAAATAAACTAGTCATTTTAGGGTAAGTTACATATTTCTAAAACACTGTAATAATATATAAATCTTTTGTTTTCCAGCTATCGGTGGTAGCTATAGGAATTAACATACACAGAACATCAAATGTGGAGGCGCTGTTACAGTTTCTGGAAGATCAAAATACTTTCCCCAACTTTGAGCATCTGGCATACTGGCAAATACAGTTCAACAATATAGCTGCGGTCATAGTCTTTTTTGTCTGGATTAAGGTAATTTATACATACCATGTTCTGCATTTTTAATATTTCCCTTCTTTTTATGAACATGAATTACACAAAATGTTGGAGAAGTTTGCTTTTGTGGCCAAATTCAAGTACCCAGACAAAGCTGCTCCATATTTTAAGGTAGAGTAGTGGGACTCATTTGATCATTTATGTCACTGTGCGCTGCTCCCTGCTCTCTTGCACGGCCTGTCCCTGCAGGTTTTGTTTAACAGGTGCAATAAGACGCCTTTTCGGCACATCAGCTGGGCTTGGAGTCCCAGGCTACTGTAACTCAGGGACAGGTCACCTGGATATGGGTCACCTAGATGAAGGAAAAGGAACTAAAATAATCGGGGGGGGGCAGAGATGACTGATTGGAAATGTTCTCAGGAAAGATGGCCTCTTTTCCAAGTACAGGGCATAGGGAAGCTTTACCTAGAACTGAAGCTGGGATGGGCACCTCTTCCAGGCAGTTCCTTAATGACTCATTTCCTTCTTTTCCCAAGACACAATGTGCGTTTTCATGTATGTGTAAGGTTAGGGCATTTCATCAGCAGCAGTAAGCCTTACTTCTGGAGATGCAGGAAATTTCAGTCATTCCGCCAGCCTATCACCAATCAAGGTCTATGATTGTGCCATCCAGACAGTAGCTACTCACCACAGGTGTCCACCTGTATTTAAATGTAAATTAATTACAATTACATACAGTTAAACATTCAGTTCCTTGGTCACTCTAGCCACATTGTAAGTGCTTGATGTGTATATGTGGCTTGTAGCTACTGCATTGGACAGTGGAAATATAGAACATTTCCATCATCACAGAAAGTTCTATTGAACAGCACATTTTTAAAAGGCACATGCAACAGTTACTTGTTTTTCTGAATTGGTATCCACACCTGGAATGCCTGAGATTTATCAGAGCACGTAGACCTCATCCTGTATCTCTCATACCTTTTATTCAGTCACATGCTTGTTCAGGAGAAACCATCACTAATGTACCAAACCTTTTTCATAAGATAGTAATAATAATACATATCTCATAGAAATAGAAATAGAAATTGTATTAAAAATGTGATTACAACACCCTGAAAAAAATTTTGGTGTAGCCAGAAACAATTTATAAGAGATCTTCAAGTAAAATTCTAGGTGGCTTATTTAGTGCTTCACTTGTAAACATATATTGTCCCCAAAACTTTAAGAACCATTACATTCTTTCAGGCAGGGTCGTGACTAGACCTGTTTGTATCTCCCAGGGTTCCTCCACCAAGGCTTCTAGCTAGAGCTGTAGGAGTTGTCACGCCCCCTGGGCTGTGAGCAGCTCCAGCTGAGCAGCTGTCCTCAGTGCCTTGTCTACAAAAAAGCTCAGTATGGTTTTGCAGTCAGACCAAACTGGGTTTGAATCCTGACTCCAAGCCCCAGCTGACTCCCGAGATAGAATATTCCCAGCTCCAAGAGTAGTGCCTGGCACATGGTAGACACTCAACAAATACTTTCTGAATGAGAAGTAGAAGTTGCTAGATTTGAAAGAAAGCAAGTCATTTTTCTTTCACTTAGCATATTTTCAGGGTTAATTCAGGTTGCAAGATGTATCAGAATTTTATCTGTAAGGCTGAACAATGTATATACCACATTTTGTCTACCCATTCATCTGTTGCTATCTTCCCTCTCTTTTACAGCTCTTCAAATTCATCAACTTCAACAGGACCATGAGTCAGCTGTCCACAACCATGTCTCGGTGTGCCAAGGACCTCTTTGGCTTCGCAATTATGTTCTTCATTATTTTCTTAGCTTATGCTCAGTTGGCATACCTTGTCTTTGGCACTCAGGTTGATGACTTCAGTACTTTCCAAGAGTGTATGTAAGTATATATGAAACTAAGAAGAAAAATTTAATCAGAGATGTCACTGCCTTCTCAAGAATAAAGGATAAATCTTCGTGGTTGCTATTTAACCACCAAGTGTTTAAAAGTAATTGCTTAAAATGAGAATTAATTCTCTTTCCCAGAAACATTGACCCACCAATGCAAAGATGACCATACACTCTGAAATGCTGATGCTTGAGGTAACAGCCGGAAAGGAGTTAGACATAGTAGATCAGCCGTAGTAAGTCAACACTGTTCCAAGATCAAGGTCTTCTTAGCACCAAATGCAAATGGTAGCTTTTAAGATACCATTTGCCTATATTTTTATTTCTATGCAGTATTGTTGCCATATGTTTTAAACGTCAAGTTATTTTCTAAGGAAGAAATAGTATTTCTAATATTCTAGGAGAAACTCAAACCAGTACAGGATTTTTCAGTCTTTTTCCAGAGTTCTCAAATATAATATAAAAACAGGAAAAGTAGCCAGTATCACATTTCCATTCCATTAGAAAGGAGTTAGTTAGGAAAGGAGATGATCATGATAATGGAAGTTAATAGGACTTTGTGCATGGGGATCCCTAATTAATGTTGCTGTTTGATAAAAGTCAGAAATGAAAATGATTTTACTTGATTTTATTAATTAAGACCCAGCATTGGTAACACGTGGCAACTCTAGACCCCACTTTGAGTTTGTGTCAGAATATTGGATTTTTGAGACATACAATTTTCGCTCCTTCAAAATCTTTTTAAAAAAAGATTTTAAATTCAGACCCAGATGACCATTGTGAAGGTTTAGGGTTACCATGTTTTACCTAAATTATGTATTACATTCTTATAGCCTATTGCTTTATAAGTTATCCAGTAATAATCATCATTATATTTTCTTTTTAACCAAATTGGAATAACATTTAGCATGAAAGAATATTATTTTATTCCAGAAAGCTTCAATTACTCATATAAGTAACAAGTTTTCCAAAGGGAATGACAATTTTCTGTTATTTGATAGCTGTCTACACTGAAAAAAAAGTCTGAAAGTGTGAAATCATCTTTTAAGAAATGCTGCCTCAATGCTGGACATTCTTTGTTTTTGTATTGTGGTGTTGTGTTGTGTTTTGTTTTGTTTTTATAGCTTCACTCAATTCCGTATCATTTTGGGTGATATCAACTTCGCAGAGATTGAGGAAGCTAATCGAGTTTTGGGACCACTTTATTTCACTACATTTGTGTTCTTTATGTTCTTCATTCTTTTGGTATGTACGCTTTTATTTAGAGTGAGGTGATTTAAATTTCATAAATCACCATCTTTTCTTTTCTCTACACTCTATTCCCTATCATTTTTTAAAAGACCCAGGAAGTAGAAAAATGTGGATATTATAAATCATATTTTATTTTACTTCTCTTTGATTTACAGTTTTAAGTCTTCATCAAATATCTTTTCCATGGACTTTCCTTTATCTATAGATGATAGATGATAGATAGATGATAGATAGATAGATGATGATAGATAGATAGATAGATAGATAGATAGATAGATAGATGATAGATAGATAGATAGATAGATAGATGATAGATAATACATATTCAATGCAAAAAGATAGATCGAGTGCAGTTTATAAAGTTACTTAAAATTGTGCTCTGCCAAAAAAGTAGACTATGCCTACATGCTTTGTTAACACAAACATCAGCACTTTCATGGTCATTTGCTAGCATGACTTTGCATTTCTCCTCTTCTGTTTAAAAAAGAGGAACTGACAAAGCAAGCTAGATCCAGGATATCAAGAGTAATACTTGAGTGAATTATTGCTTGTCAAGATTAAGATATTTTGTCTTCACTTACTCATATTTAGCATACCTAGAGATTAAATCTAACAATATATGGAAATTGCTTTAAAATTACATTAAAAATATTTGTTTATTCTCTTGATTTGGTACAAATTAACATTTTTACCATTTGGCCTTGTTAATTAGGATTTTTTTTAAAGGCATTTTGTTCTTCATCTTAACATTTATACATTTATGTGTCTGTTCCACTTAAGAAAGTATTTATACATTTATGTGTCTGTTCCACTTAAGAAAGTATTAATTTAGTTTAACCTAGGCAGTAGGTATTTTTTTCATTTAAACATTAACATTTAAGAATTCCTTACATCAACCATCACCTTAAGAAAACAACAAAACTGTTTCCATTTTCAATGGATTTTATAAAGATTCTTTTGTATAACATTCAGTATTTTAGTGTATTATCTCCAGAGTTGGTCCAGGTATTTAGTGGTTAAGTATATGGTATTTACTGAGTGAGAATTAGATATTTTTTAATAAGACCGGAGAGTCAGAAATATCATGCAAGTTCATTTGTATCTTGCTGTCTGCATGTTTCATGATCACTTTTAAACTTGAGCCTCCGAAATTTCTTCTTCCTATCATATGTTAAAGAAAAAAAAATGGAGGAAGAAGCCTTTGTTACTCTCCAACTTTGGGAGTACTTTGAACCCTGGCGCATCTGAATCCCTGAATGTCTTCTAAGAAAACAAACCCTAGGACCTGAGAGTTCTGCAGTGACCCATAGCTGATTTCAGGCCACCTAAGTCGTCTTCACATGCCAGTCGGCCAAGCGAGGGGCATGACTGTGGCAAGTGCTCAAATGTGGACTTGTTTGAATGTTGTCCTCCAGGAGACAGAATCTTCTAAATTAGTAATTTTTTCAGATCAATCACTAGAACATGAAAAGTTCTGTCTTTAGAGTTTCTGTCTTTATACTAAAATAATGTTTCGTATTACTACACAAGAAGGAATTGCTCTCCCTGCACCACCCCCCGGGGGAATAGGGGAGGCTACTGTCAATACAAACCTTTTTTTTAGGGAAATGACAAGCCAAGAGCATTGTTGGCCACCTTTCTGAGATGATTGCCAGGTGTTAACTTATTGCCTCTACTTAGCAAGAAGCTTCCAGCTGAGACAGGAAGCAAAACCCCCATCAACTGGGAAAGACCTCTAACAACTGAGTGAACCTTGTGAGACAGAAGGGAGAGGAGGGTGAACTTCCTCCCCCCACACCTTCAGGAGCCTTCCTCAGCCACTTTCCAATTTTTGAAAACTCACACTTTAATCCATTTCAACTAATGCATTTGCAGACGTTAGGTAACAGCCATTTGGAAACAAAAATAAAACATTAGACGCCTGGATTGAAAAGGAGAGGTGGGAGATATTACTCGGGCTACAGCTGCTGCTCTTGGAGTGGCGCATTACGCCAGGAATTTATGTGTATTCCATATTCTGTTCTCATTTCTGCTGCAGAATCTTAAACAATATTCCTCCTTAATTCATAGCAATTTAGTAGCCCATTAAAACCATTAGAATAATAATTGAGCTCTCATTTGTTCATCAATCATTCAGTAAATATTTACTGCGCCACTGTATTCCGGGCAGTGTGCTGGATACTGGGGATGCAGTGGGAAGGAAAACAGAGCCAAATCCTGCCATCGTGAAGCTCCCATAAACTTGTAGGGAAAACAGACACAATCGGATACACAACTCTGTAGTTAAGCGCTAAAAAGGAAAAACAAAGGAAGAACATGTTAAAGAAGGGTGTAGCGTTTCCAGAAAAGCTGTTGGAAATGTAAACTATTATACTGGGGAAGGGGAAAGTCAGGAAAATGGACTGACTATTACTGAATAACAATAACTATAAATTATGTAGCACCATACATTAGGCCGTTTTAAAGCACTTTACATAGATTATCTCATTAATCCTTTCAACAAATATGTCAGGGAGGTACTATTATTTCTCCCATTTTAAAAATACAAAAACAAATAAATACATTTTTAAATGAAGGTTAGAAAATTTAAACAATATAGTCTTGGCAGTGACAGAAACCCAAGTTTGCTTGACTCCAAAGTCTGTGTCTTGTCCAGTAAGCTTTTCTTAACTATCTTCTTACTACGCCTACCATATTCCTATTTGCAGAGATCTTTTTACTCTTTTATGTTCTGTAAATCTCAAATAATACTATGTAACAACATTTGGTATAAGCATAGAATTCCATTTGTCATAATATATGTCAAATGAAAAAATGTAGAGAACATAGATAAGCAAAAATAATAAAATAATTTTTATTATTCATTCATATAATAATTGAATTAAAATTATTCATTCAAATAATTTTTATTATCCATTCATAGTTGAAGAATTAATATTTTATTGTATTTCATTCTCGTCTTTTTTTGCAAAATATATCACAATATATGGTTTTGTAGGTAAGAAAATACGTCACATTTTCCTTTGGCATGACTTCATTGAAAAAATAATTTTCCCAAACAGTATGGTAGCAAAACTATTAATTTATGACTTCCTAAGACATCAAATTGTTTTAAAAAATGGTGAACAAAAATGCATGTATCAAAAATTGGATTGATGTTTACAAAATATATTTAGGCTGCTACTTTAACCCCAACCTTCCTCTGATTTATGAACAGAATATGTTCTTGGCCATCATCAGTGACACTTACTCGGAAGTTAAATCTGATTTGGCTCAGCAGAAAGCTGAAATGGAACTGTCGGATCTTATCAGAAAGGTATGACAAGCCCTCATTCTCAGAATTGTTTTATTCTCTACATACAATAAGCACTGTTGCAGCCAGATTTCCCAATCAATATTAATCAATTGTCATTGTTTAGGATAAAGAGTAGATTGCTGTATCATAGGAATAATGTAAGTGTTCTTGGAGCTAGAGATGGACTTAGATTCTGGGAATACTTTAATGCCCTGGAATTAAATTCTCAGTGAACTCTTTCAACTCTTAGAGCTGAGCTGCTGGTTTCACCCCTTTGTTTGGATACCTCCTCGAGTTAGCTCTCCCTTCCAGATTCAGAGTTCAGAATAAACTGGAAAATTATAAAGACACTTCCACTTTTTCTATCTCAATTACAGTGTTTAAAAAGAAAAAGTTTCAGAGGCAAGTACTTTGTAGTTCATTCGCCTTGACCTTCCAGGGAAGTTGTAAAATGGTCTAAAGGAAAGGTCCTTGGAGTAAGGCCACAGCCTAAGGGCATGAGAACCCCCCCTTACCCACCTTCTCAGGAAATGTTTGATTGTTAGAAGGCAGGACGGGAAAGTTGGGCAGCTTTGTTCTCAATATGACTTCTTTATTTGGTTTGAAGCAACAACAAATACATGTCTAAAGTTCACAGCTTGTTACCTAACTTCATTTTGCTAGGATACAGTGGCTCCTTTTCTGTCATTCAAGCCACAGGACTATGTCGCTTGTGAATCATGTTGTACAGAGAACTTCCCCTTTTCAAAACAGAGTCCAAGGAATGGGACCTAACGTTTTCATTTCCTGAATTTTGCCTAACAGTTGATTGTATTTTAGCAAATCTCCAGGGTATATACAAGCAGTCTTCATTTTACACTTTGGTTCTGTTAAATAACACCAGCCTGTCAACACAGTTCAAATTTCAGTTATCACAGTACTAAGAGCATAAAGTACAAACTTCGCTTTCACTTATCACAGTATATTAACTGTGAGTAATAGTGCAAAGTGCAAACCTCACTGTGGATCATTGCGTAAGTAACAGATGTGCAACCTTGTCAGTGACCAGTTGTGGCACTTTTTGCAAAGTCTCGGCTTGATCACTGAGGATCTGCTATTCGGTTCACTCACAAAACACGTAGTTATGTTGCTTCCTTGTCTCCCGGTGATAAATTGTGTGACCTTTTACAAAAACAGAACACCCGAAAGACAGAATGAGCCAGCGAAGGTGAAAGTATAGCAGAAAAACGAAGAATGATGGCACTGGGCATAAAGATCAAAACAAATGTATTGGTTTATAGGAGAAGTAAGTAGCTGGCCATGGGAGTATCACTGCTGCCATTTGAGAGATCTAGAGGTGCAGCCGAAAGAACTTACTGAAGGCATTAGTCACAGAGTAGAAGAAGTGATTTGTAGGAAAAATTTGCTTAGGAGACAAGTTATAGAGGCAAAGGAAGGGCCCTTGGAGCTTAGGAATGAGGAAGGGAAAGGTAAAGCTTCTGGGGGAAACGGAGGGGAAAGCCTGGGCTTGCTCCCAGGAGGGAGAGCACTCTAGGTTCTCCTGCCCAAGGGTTTTAAGGGTGGAGATTTTAGGGGAGGCCGCAGGGGAAGATCTTAATAGAATATTCAGCAGCTTTCCAGGTGTGTCCTTTCAGGGTCAGGGTCTCCACTGATTGATTGGTCAGTGCAGGGGGCGGGGGGCATTGGGGGGGCCATTATTCAATGCAGCTAGTCCTGAGGTGAGCCTGGTACCTGTGGTTGCTTGTCTGGTTTTGCTGCTTTTCTGGGCCTGGAGCTGAAATACAACTGAGGTCTAGATGTTATCTCTAGGGAGGAAAGGTCAGGGGGCTGAAATTGCACAACCAGAGATATGCTAGGGAAGGAAAGGCCACCTTGGGGTTGAGGTCCCACCTTACAATTGTCAGTTGCTAGGCACCCAGGGCTTTCCACCCTGGTGACCTCCTGTACCTGGCCCATCGTCCTTGCTCTGCTCATGTCTGTCTAACTGCCTACCACAAGATGAGCTGTTGTGGTGATATCTCTGAAGTCTACATCAAGTTGTCCCACTTTAGCTTGCATGGCGTTGGAAAAGGGCAGTTTTAAGTCTCAATAATGCCAAGTCAAAAGGTGGGAAAGTGAAAATGATAGTTTGGAGGATTACAGCCAAATATTTAAGAAAACTGATAATGTTTTTGTAGCCACTCAGCTGGAAAAGAAAACAAAAATCTAGATCCAGTCCAGTTTATAGGTAGAAAATTTTAAACACTCAGAAGTCAGTGAGCGATAGGGTGGTGAACGCACAATACAATATACAGATGGTGTATTATAGAATTGTACCACTGAAAACTATGTAATTTTACTAACCAATGTCACCACAGTAAAGTCAGTTTTTTTAAAAAGTCATTGAGCAGCAGTAGAAGCTAATATTCACAAAAGTATATCATAATTTCTATTGCAACATAATTTTTCTCTCTAAAATCACTCTCATTTTTACCAAAGGTAGCCAAATTAAGACTAATTTATTTGCAAAATTAGTCTAGTTTCAATAAACTTGGCTTGATTATTTGTGTAAGCTCAGCAGCAATAGCAATTACCCACCCAGACTCTCTTAAACTTGCTTTGCTGGAATTTTTCATGAGGAATCTTCAGGTTGAACTTAAAAAGACCTCTCAAGGCCAGAAAAGCCAAGGCGAAGACTTGCTGTCAGGTTTGAGTGAGTTCCTCTCTTCTCAAGGTCCCCCAAATATCCAGAGGTATTTTATCACCGCTGAGAAGTGACACTCTTTACTCACATGGCAGTGCTGGGAACCGTGTAAGCAAGGTACCAGGCCAATATTTTCAGGTGCTTTTATTGGCTTCCATATGTCAACCTTAAATCTTTAAAGCAGTCTGGTCATGTGCATGTTCCTCTCAAATAATGACATTCCAATCAAAGCCTTGGTAATAAACCCAGTTTCCATTTGTGCCCTGTTTATAAGGAGAACAGATTCTTATTGAACTTACACTAATAACCATATTATAATGAAAATAAAAATACTTATCAAGAGTTTCCAAATTCTGGAGGGATCAGATACGGAGAGAAGTATACGTGTTTCAATACTGCTCACAAAGGCACAAGTTACCAAATGTTAAGTCATGGCAGTTTAAGAGAAACAAGTTTCCTTTCATCTGGAAAACAAAAGATTAAAACATATTGGCAATTTCAAACAAAAAAGTCATAAAAATTGTACCCATTTTCATCAGTTTATTCAGTCCTGTGCGATTAAACTTGTTCTGCTTGACACCAGTTTTTTCATTAGTTCTGTCAACCTTGCCTGATAATCTGATCATTCATAATTCCAAGAAGTTTACAGCCATTGTTTACCCATCATAATTTTTCTGATTCAGGAGTAGACTATTGCCATGTAACGACATCAGGATGGCAAAGGTTTGGCAATGAGGGGTCATTTTTGCAGAAACAGAGTGGACTTCATCCCCATGTGCCACAGCCTGATACTCAGATTCGGTCATTTTTGGCTGTCCCTCAATTTTGATCACAGACATCTTATGTCAGGACCTCTTAGATTTCCAGGAAATTCACATAATTTCCAGAACACTTATAACATGCACAAATACAACATAAAGAAGGCTCAAGTTATTTCTTATTTAGCAGTGCTTCCCAGGTAATTTCAACACACCAAAATAAGCCTAATTCGTTTAAGATTTCTCTTTGTAAGGGAAGAAAACAAATATTTTGAGGTGTTCCAGGGGCCCTTCTGGAATACCTCAGTTATTCCCAGGCCAAGAATCTATTTATAACTTAAATTTTGGAACATTTACCAAAATGTATCAAAAGGTTTGAACATTTGACTAAATACAATCATGAGTCATTATGAAGCAGTACTAATTATCCATTTAACCAAAGTTACCATAAAAGATTTCAAAGATAAGTACAGAAGTTCACATGGTTAGCATAACTTAGTTCTTACTATTGAGGAGATTCCGTTTTCTTAAGTAATCAAGGACCTGATTAAGACAGTGTAAAACACAGAAGATTATTCTGATAAAACACAGAATCTTTGCATTCTAGGCAGAAAACTTTTTTACAGTATCAGTATCAGACCAATAGTTCTTTTTAGCAGAGAAAGAAAACCTAAGTCTAATTTTGCATCAGCTTACTTTCAATATTTAAATTCACTTACTTGATTTAATTTATTTCTGTCTTATTCAGCTTGACCACACATGAAATATGATTTCTCAAGATTCCTTTTTACATTATAATTTCTGTTCTGTTTTTCCTCTTTTCCATTCTGAAACAACTGACCTCACTTTAGGGCAAGATTATCTTCTTTTCCTTCAAAAATACATCTCCAAATCTCATACCATTTTTTAAAGCCTGTATATATACTATTTTTCTTGTATACACAGTTTTTCCTATTGTTCTTAATTTCTGTTGTTAATTACTTATATGAGAATTCTTAACTTTGAAAAAGCTTAATTTCTAGTAAAGACTAAAAAGTAAGCAATTGTGAACCGTTATACCAGTATTTTTTTAGATTGGTACATTTTTGAACACATCAGTTTCTCTCTTTTTCATATAAATATATATATATATATCCTTGTAGCACAAAATTTTTAATGCGACACAAAACATGTTTACTGAAACTCAAGTATGTTTAGCTCCATTATCATTAGAAGCAGAAATTTGATAAAGGTATGTTCACTAATTAATGTTTCTTTATTCTATCTTATTTGGAAGTGGTCTAGACATTCCATGAATATTCATCATTTAGTTTAGCTAATAAAACTTTAATAAAGTTTCAAGTTACTGAGATTTAGGAAACTGTTTTTAATAATATAATTATTGCTAAATAGTTCACCTAAAAGGAAAGCTTTTATCCTACTTCCATAGCAACTCAAACCAATACTATGGGTGTAAAAGGCCTTTCCAAAGGAGAGTGGAAAAAGATGCAACCTCACAAGAAAGTTTATTCCCAAAGTTAGCCTCAGAAATATAAGGGTGGGGGGTTGGGGGGGACACCGTCTTTAAACACCTGTTCCAAAACACAGGGAAGCACCTGCTTTCCCCTTCTGAGCAGACTAGGGCTTTAAGCTTCCCTAAGCTTGTATCCACAGTCTGTTGGGCTGCCCACCAGACACATACGCATCGTCCAGCTGGTAGAGATGACAGACCGTGTCTGGGAGGGACAGGATAGACACAGAAAACTCCCTTGAGAGCTTGTCTTGGCCGGATGGAGAGCTCTGTGCATCCTGTGGACGGTAGGAGCCAGAGAGAAAATACTCTCACTGGTCATAAGGCCAAGTTCTCAGGACAAATAACAGGACAAAATGAGAGAAACCCGACAGAGACAGAGAAAAACAAAACCATGAGTTCTCACCAAATAACCCAGAGTCATTTTGCTAAGAAACTAGCTTCACAAATATTTTCTCCTACCAATCCAAATTTAGAAGAGAGAAAAAGTTTCTCACCACTTTTGCTTCCACCAGATCCTACAGAAGAAGATCCGCGGTGGGTGCTGACATGGTTAGAACACTTGCCTTCTGCTGGGCTGTGTCAGACACCCCGGGGTCTCCTTATCTGCAGCAGCTCATGGGGAAGGGCAGGGTTCCAGCCAGTGAGTCTGTCCTGCTCACAGCACCAACTGGGAGGGAGGAACAAACTCTCCTCTAGCCTCAGTTCTTCTGGCTGGTCTAAGAAATAGGCATGAGACAGATTGCAAGAGAAAAGAAACAAATGCAATATATATACATATGTGTGGGAACCTCTCATACATGAGAGAGTCAGAGACCCCACAAGCAGGAGTGGTTCTGAGCTAGAAAGGGAACCGGGGCTTATGAGACATCCAGAGCTAGGGATGAGGTCAGGTGCCTGGAGGGCTTCAGCAGGTCATTGCAGGATGATGCGAAGAGCAGATGCTTAGTAAATAGAAGCTTGTGCTGCCCTATGGACAGGTCAAAAGGGTTATCTCTGATAATTGCTTATTATGGGCAAGGCCCCTAATTCAAGTTCTTCTAGGTAGTTAAGGGAGGGGCAGAAGTTTCTCTTGCACCTGTGGTTAAAGTTGCCTTTAACTCAAAACAATCTGTATACCACAGAGGTACATCTTAGGGTCACCTGTTCTGAACCCCCACAATACAATGCTAAATACTTTGCATAGGTATTGTTTTATTTCTCTCTGATGACAGCTTTGTGAATTGATTGCTGTTACACACACTCTAGGGATGATGTCACTGAGGCATGGAGAAGGTACACATGTCCAAGGTCACAGAGCAGTTGGGCTGAGCCATATATAGCACATGCCCTTAACCCATTCAAAAGACTTGACATATGGTAAAAGGAACTTGTTTTATTTGGATAGGAAGAGACAATTCTAGTGCATTTTTTCAATAACTTATTATGAACTGTCCAAAGTGAACAGTTGAGATGCTCCTAAGCATGTGTTACTTGATTCTTTTGGATCCCAGAGTGCTGTTATAGAAATAAGTTGCAGTGTAAATCACACTTTTCTTCTAATATATGCAGTTCATGATAGACAGTTCTGAGATACTCAGGGTGGTCGGCTTCTTTCCTTGCCCTTTGGAAAGTGTAAAATTTTAAGTTTGTTTTATTTAGAGCTTCTCTGACTTTTAAGTGATCAATCTTTATCTTGGTCCCCACTGACCTGGCTTCCTAAATATTTAATAAAAGTTACTTGGGGGAGTAACTCATCATATTTGTTTGGGGGAAATATTTGCCATCATAGTCTATGGAGCTGTCACACACCCAAAAGTCTCATAAAAATTGCACCATATTGTCTCTAAGAAGAAACTTACAGTCAGAAAAGTGGCCTCTTTGAGAGAGATCATTGAAACCCCAATATTTAGGTCCACTGGGTAAGAGGGCATTGCATGGTGATGTGATTTAGAAGGTCTTAGGATAAGTTTTTTACAAAGAAATAAAACACTTTAACTTTTAAGTTTCTAATATTTTAAATTTGAATGTAGTAAATAAACATTCATTTTACTACTTTTAAAATTTTACTATGACTTTATAACCAACACTACGGGAGCTTTTAATGTTTGACAAAAGGATTTAAAGGTCATGGAACAATCGTAATTTTTCCTGTTGATTATTAACATCACCTTGTACAGTTTAAGCCTGTGTGGTCATTTTACAGTCCTGCACTTCAATGGAAAGCAAGGTCTGCCTGTAGTTTATTAATGAAAACTGACATCCACATTGTACTGAAATATATACTAACATATTTAAGGAAATTACTCTGAGATAATATAGAAAATAAACAGTTTATGACTTGGGATTCTCATTATTCTTAAGAACTGTTGCACATTCTTACCTGTTCTGAGGCAGACAGCTATGAAACATGTACTGATTTTCTTTCCTATAACCTAAACTTGCACTCACATACAAGCAAAAGCCTCTTAGTTCTTCTTGATTTACTGAAGGAGCCTGACCCTTTCCATATAGCTGTGCCCATAAGAATTTTATGGAAAACTCAAGATACATCCATTGTTTCTTAACACATTTGTTGAGTGCTGTTCTGGGTTTACAGTAGTTACTACTGTAAATTGAAGGTTAAAGCAAATGCAAAAGGAGAATGCACTAAACTAAGTCTTGTCTTTTCAACAGGGCTACCATAAAGCCTTGGTCAAACTAAAACTAAGAAAAAATACCGTGGATGACATTTCAGAGAGTCTGCGGCAAGGGGGAGGCAAGTTAAACTTTGATGAGCTTCGACAAGATCTCAAAGGGTGAGAATCGAACTTTCTGTGGCCCTGGAAAATTCCTTATGTAAAGATAAATTCTTGACGGTAAGGGTATTTCTGGCTCAAGTACTTGTAGAGACACCTGTTTTTCAGAGGTGGATGGATGTCTTTCTGGAGTGTACTGTAAGGAGGACTGCCCCGACTCAGCACCTTCTCTTTCCCTCCTGCACTTTGATGTCGTGTGTGGGGGTTGGACGATGTATGTGAATGCGCTCACTGTCACCTCCCGATCGTTCCAGGAAGGGCCACACTGACGCGGAGATTGAGGCCATATTCACCAAGTACGACCAAGATGGAGACCAGGAGCTGACTGAGCATGAACATCAGCAGATGAGAGATGACTTGGAAAAGGAGAGGGTGGGTCTAGTTTAGGGGAACATGATTTGTCTCAGACACCGAACTAAGCAGTGGGTCGCTAAGAGTCATTCTGTCCCTCTCATCAGTTGATGAATTAGTACCCTGCTTATTCCAACAAGGACATATCACACAATAATATATAAAAATCCAGTAAGTTAGCATAAATGTAAAAACAAAAATGAAGAATGGAGCAAAACAAAACCAGGAGTAAAACCAGACTATGAATGAAGCTAAAAATGCATTCCATAAAAACGCATATTCTTATTACGAATGGACTACAAATTTGGCCCTAAGCCTTCCAGTAATGAACTTGAAAAGACGAAACCAGATAGTTACATATTTCACAATGTCATGAGAGTGGGGGGGAGGGGGGGATTTCTTAGGAGATATAAAATTACTTTTGAAATTAACATTTAAAATAAAACAGCTGCCTTCCATTTGAATATTTATTAAACTATTAAAAGTAAACTTACATGGGCTTTTATAATCAGGAAAAAGATAAGTAAAAACTTTAAAAATAATAGTTAAACAAAAAATACATGGTAATTGAGGTACAGAGAATGAAGATGCATGTTAAGCATAAAAGTCATTTTCCTGTGAGGAGATAGTATAGAACAGCGCTTTCTGCACGCTGCTCCACAGAACAGTGCCATTAGGGAAAAAATGAAAAACATCAGTCACAGTGCAGTGTGAACAAGAAGACAGTGAGTAACACTTTCATGAGGCTTTCCTACTCTGTAGCTATTAAATGGGTTATCTTTTATGAAAGGGTGTATATTTCTTCATTTACTTTTTCTTTGCCTTGTGGTGGTTTTTTGTTGTTTTGTTTTTATTGATTCCAGAGAGAGGGAGAGAGAGGAAAACATCAATGATGAGAGTCACTGATCGGCTGCCTCCTGCACGCCCCCCACTGGGGATCGAGCCCGCAACCCGGGCATGTGCCCCGACTGGAAACTGAACTGTGACCGCCAGGTTCATGGGTTGACGCTCAACTACTGAGCCACACTGGCTGGGCTGCCTTGTGTTTTTAATGTTCTTTCTTGTCAAAACCATAACTTAGTAACTCCTTGCTGGTAATTAAAATCTTGTCTTGAAAATTTGCCAATCCATGAAATAAAAAAGTGTGGGAATCACAGTCTGGCATTAACCACAAAAAAATCCGAAGTAAACGGCACGCAGCCATTTCTCATTGGCCCCAGCCCTTGGTGAAGCGTCTGTGGGGTCCAGGTGCCCCTGCTCAATGACCATGTTTTCTTCAGGAGGACCTGGACTTGGATCACAGCTCTTTACCACGTCCCATGAGCAGCCGAAGTTTCCCACGGAGCCTGGATGACTCTGAGGAGGATGATGACGACGACAGTGGGCACAGCTCCAGAAGGAGGGGAAGCATCTCCAGTGGGGTTTCTTATGAAGAGTTTCAAGTGTAAGCACAAGGAATTGCAGTACAACTTTGCTTTTACCCACCTCCTTTGTCCCATTATTATTATTTACTTAGTATATATTTATTCAAAATAATGGGCTCATAAGTGAATATACTATTTTTAACTGCTTTATTTACTTAATATAGTATGAGTATTTCATAAAATATTCATTCACAATATAATTTCTGTCTCCTTAGGTTCCATTGTATAGATGAACAATAACATATTTAAATAATCTCCTCTTATTTAATGTAATCTTTTTTTTTTTTTTATGACCCACTATTAATAAGCAGAACTGTAGTGAATATCCTGGTAGCCAAAAATCACACATATGCTTAATTATTTTCTTTAGAAATTTTTCAAAACAGGTATATCTGAATAAAAGGCAGGCATACATTGTTAAGGCTTCTGATACAATGTCGACTTGTAGAAAATGTGTGCCAGTCAGCACTCCTACCACCATTGTGTGAGAGTTTAGCTTTAAAGTTTGAGACTATTTGGGAAAAGTTTCAGATTATCATATTGTTGAAGAAAAAAATCTTAGCACTTTCATTTGAGAAGCCAACTAAGCTGAAAAGACAACATCACAAGGTGGCTTTGTCCCTCCCAACTGTGGTTTCCTGCAGCCTGGTGAGACGCGTGGACCGAATGGAGCACTCCATCGGCAGCATTGTGTCCAAGATTGACGCTGTGATCGTGAAGCTGGAGATCATGGAACGGGCCAAACTGAAGAGAAGGGAGGTGCTGGGAAGACTGCTGGACGGAGTGGCTGAGGTGAGTGGTTGTCTGCAACAGAAACACTCTGGTGCGTAAAACATTAGGGCAGTTGTCATTTATAACCCTTTTAATCAGAGAGGTTTTTCTGTCTCCATACTACGGGTCAGTGCATATCAAATGATAATCTAGAGGTGTTACTTTCCTAATACTCCACACACTCATGGTCCTGCCATCACTGGATGGTAAAATTAGGCAAAGAAATTACTGTAGTAACTAAGAATTGTTATTATATGTTTTAAATCTCCACACTTACCTAATTATAAACAGACTATTTGCCACATTTCCTAAGACAGTTTCTAAGTACAAGAATATGCACCAGTTGCTCTGGCCAGCCTGGCTCAGTTGGTTGGAGCATGGCCCTGGCCACCCAAAGGTTGCAGGTTTGATCCCCGGTCGGGGCCAGTAAGGGAAGCGACCAGTCGACGTTTCTCACATTGATGTTTCTCTCTCTCTCTCTTTCTCTCCCTTCCTCTCTCTCTAAAAAGCAATAAAATAAAAAAATACCCTTGGGTGAGGATTGGAAAGAAAAAGAACATGCACCCGTCTTTCCCTAAGTTCCCGGTTTCTTTTTTCTCCATCAGGATGAGAGGCTGGGCCGGGAGAGTGACATCCACAGGGAGCAGATGGAGCGGCTGGTGCGCGAGGAGCTGGAGCGCTGGGAGTCC